GTAGAAAGAAACAAAGCAGGTCGGTATTCAGCTCAGGCTGACCTAGAATGTTCAAGACCCTGTTCAACCCCCAATACACAACAAAGTAAAACAAAAAGAAAACAGAGCAAATAACTAACAGCAGTATGAGCGGACCTCAACAAAATTTAGGGTGGATAAAAGAAGGCAGCCATAAAACAGAGCCTACTTTCTAGGATGATGGGTGATGCTACTGATTTTAATCTCGGCCAGGGTGTTGTTTAAACATGTACCAATCAAATCTCATTAAGAGATATAATTAGGATCATTTTATCCTATGTAAATTTCAACTAGAAAAGAAAAAGAACCACACGCAAGTAGCAAGTTCTACTTAAATGATAAGCACACTGAAGTATTTAGAAGGAAGGGTACTTATACATGATGTAATGAAAAATGTATGAAAAAAATCATTTGATGGATGGTTGGAGGAGCTGATAAATGATTAACTATATAATAAAGTAGGCACATTAAACTCAATAGTAGGATCTAGGGGGCCTATGTGGGGTGTTCATAATAAAAACCCTCAACTTCCCTCCATGTTTGAACTTTTTAGGAGGTTGAGAAAATAACCTTAGAGCTTGGGTTCAGAATACCAGTGAATTAATAGTCCCAGCTATATTAAGCCATCAGGCTACTTCATGGAGGGCTTACAGTCAAAAAGCCTGTCAGGGCAGATGATATCATAGAGTTACTATGTCAGGTACCTACCTGGGCTTAAGGGAATCTTTTTCAAGCTCCAAACAGAACCACTCTGAAAGATGTTTTTCCTTGAACCCTAAAGCAGTTAAGATATGAGGACTCACAGCCTGTGCCAGGAGAATACTGTAACTTAAAAGCACAAAGTCTGCACTTCTAAAGAATGGCCTCACCCATGGCAATAGGTGCCTGTGTGGGCAAGCTGTCAATCTCTGGCCTCTGCATGCACATGCATGGACATGTGCACCGTACACTCACACACATACATCACATGCATAAAACATACTCCCCCACACAAAATGATACATGCAATACCATTTTTAAAAACTGCTGATTATTTCATATAAATATATGGCTGAAGTTGTCCAAATAAGAGTTACTTGTCTAAAATTAAACACCATACAGTAATGCAAATGTCCCCTAGTTTTGACAAAAAGAATAACTTTAAGTAGGATTCAGAAATTCAATTTATAATTTCCTCAGAAATAATATATATGTATGCTTTTACTGTTTTGTATAACTTTCCTGGGCCCTATTTTATATTTTGGCAAGTAAAAACAGAGAAGGGAGTGGAGGAAAGAAAGAAGGAGTCAGGAGAAGGTAGGAGGGCAGAGAAGGCTGTTTCTGCCATCCCATATATAGTATAAAGAACATAAATGAACCTATACGATAGATACATGAACCTTCATGAACAGACACACACTGGCCGCAGCTGCAATACCATGTAGAATGCACACATCTTCAATCATGCAAAGGTAAATTATGTAAATAGCCTTTACCAACACTGACAACATTAAGACTGTCAACATGACTTACAAACTCTGGCTAGGGCCAGTCTGGTTGGTCCTGAATTGATATGAAATGACCACATCTCATTTGCTGTGAGTTTGTCTATGGTTTTGGCTCTGTGAGCTTTTTAGTTTTTGTTTGAGATTTCATTTATTTATTTTTTATTTTATGTGCATGAGTGTTTTGTCTTTATTTATGTATGCATGTCTGGTACCCTCAGAGCCAGAAGAAGGAGTTGGATCCCTGGAAATTGAGCTGTAAACAGTTGTGAGCCACCATGTGGGTGCTGGAAATCAAATTGGATCCTCTGCAAAAGCCACCAGCGTTCCAAACCACAGGGCCATCTCCAGTTCCCACTCGTAATTCTTAATTTATTGATTAACAAGGTACGTACACAGTGTGTGCTCAATAGATTTTGAGGATACATTGCTGATCAATTTTGATGGGATTTGAATTATTGGAGTAATTGACAACGAACATAAGTTGTTGTAATGTTAGAAACACATTAATGCTCTCCAAAAAAAGATAGGTGATATCTTGGGGAAACACAGTCTCCCAGGCATTGCAAGAAAAACATGGACCCTGCCAGCAGGGGATGGTATGATCACCACTGTGGAAGTGAACCTTGTACTTCCCTAATCGCCAGTTTTGAAAATGCCGGCAAAACTCATTATGAAGAACTGAGAGCCTCAGAAAGTCAGGAGTTCCCAAGATGATTATTTTCAGATTTACTTCCAGAGCACATTAATTTGTTTCCCTTCTCATTTCAATCCACAGCATGGCAAACATCTGCTAAAAATACCTGTTGCCTCCATCTGTAAACCATGCCAGTCAGCTGAACAAGACCCCCTATGCAAGAGCAGATGGAATAATCTGTGCAGGGGCACCAAATCTAAAACTAAGCCTAAAACCAGATGGGCCTGATCTACCTATCTAAAGTAGTATTTGACCCAAGCCTGAGCTCTTCTTTGGAGAATGGCTTCTTCCTGGATCCCAGGGTCCTCCAATGGTAGGGAGGCCTTTCTGCCTGCACCCCTCTCAGCAGCCAGCCTGGTCTGATGCTAAGTACTATATTAATAGCCCTCCACATTAAATCTGTTCTACTACAAGCACACTGCTTAGTGGTCTGCAGAGGGCAACTCGACCCAGCTATTTCCTTTTAATGAAATGTCCAGACTCCCTCATGACTTGCCTCAGCAAAGCCATCTCTTAAGACTGAATTGCCAAAAGGCTGTGTTCACTCACTGCACAAATAGATCTACAGTAGAATCATAGCATTCAACACAAACATTTTATAACCAACATCAGGACATCAAAAAGGTTGTCATGGGCCTTTTTTTTTCTAATACCACACTAAAGAAAAATAGTTCTTTAGTACCACGATTAAAAAATGTAATTGTAGGGGGCTGGAGAGAGGTCTCAGCAAGACTTGGTGCTCTTGCATAGGACGCAAGTTCAGGTCCCACCACTTACATGGTGGATCACAACCTTGTATAATTCCTGTCTCAGTGGGTCCAATGCCTTCTTCTACCTCCTCAACCACCAAGCGGTGCACTTGCTAATAAAACACCCACACACTTAAATAATTTAAAAAATATTCAATTGGACCTAGTACAACTTTTGACGTCCTTAATGAGTAAAAATGCAAATTAGATATTACTTTATGAAGATATTAAATCAGACTGGTCGTCAACCTTAGGCATTTTCTTAAAAGTTTTATATTTTTGCTAACTCCACAAAATTATGCAAAATTCACCTCTTATAGGAGAGTGTAGTAGAGACCATCTCATAGTTCATCATAAAGCAAGAACATATTCTCAGCTCAAACGTATTGCACAATTATCCTTCCATGACTTAAATGAAGTATTTGCTTTTCCAAGTTTGGGCTGATTTCAAAAATAAGTTTATATCACTAGGATTGGGTTGCACCTAAAAGCCCTGAAATTACATCGAAATACAACTGCTTGCCAAAAAGAGAAAGGGAAGGAGGGAAGGAGGGAAAGGGGGAGGGAAGGAGGGAGGAAGGAAAGAGGGAGGGAAAGAGGGAAGGCAGGAAAGAGGGAGGGAGGGAGGGAGGGATGCATATGGGTCAGTGAGAAGGCTCAGAGGGTAAAATGTTTGCTCAGAGCCTGACAGCCAGAGTGCTGGGTGTCTCTGGGACCCATGTAGTGGAAGGAGGGAACCAACTCCTAAAAGTTGTTCTGTCACTTCCACAGGCATACAGATGTGTGTGCAAGCACAGGCATGCACACACATGCACAGGTACACACACACAGGTACAGAGTAAAAGTTTAAAGATAGAGCCACTTGTAACTAATAGAGGCAGTCAGCATCTATAAGCATGCCATTACATGAATATTTGTAAGGTATTTTCAGAAACACTAAAAATTCCTCATGCCAGTTTCCCTCATAAACAAGATCTCTCCCACCTTTAAAGTTCCACTGCAAGACAAAGGGGATATTTCAAATCCAAACCAGTGGTATTTTAAAATGTTTCCACCGTTCTCCTGGTAAATAAACAAAACCCAGTATGCTAAAAGCTCTCTGAGGATCCTGTTCCCTGATTATGAGCTGAAATCTACAGGATCGGATTTTTCACATGCATGGCACTTTTCCAAGCCACAGGAGGATGGAAAACATCAGTGCTGGGACCCAAAGTTTTCTGTGGTTTTAAAAGCAATCATTTCCCTTTTTCAACATGCCACTGTAAGTCTCTTGCATTTCAGTAGTAAATATCAAGCATCACTTTTCTATTTTGGATCATCTTTGAGAAAAGTATAACAGTCAGTTGTGAGGGAAACACACTTTTGTTGTTGTTGTTGTTTGGTCATTTAAAGGAGGAGACCACACACTTCACTCGTCCACCATGGCTGGTGGCCCTTATTTTAACAAGGAAGGAAAAAAAATCTAATGCCCAACAATATGTTTCATATAGCTTTAGGCTGGAGTTCAGTTACAGTGGCCTTCAAAGAGTTCTTTTATTAAGTTTTCATGAAACTTAAAAAAGTTTTAAAATCTGCAGGAGGCCAGACAGAGCGCTCAGCTACACACTGTAATCTGACACTAGGCTGAAGACTGACCAAGTTTAAGTAACCCAAGAGGAACTGTTTCCTGCTTTCAGTTAGAACCATCGACAATGACCTGTAGTAACACTGCTGAGGCGGGGTTACTAGCGGGCATTAGACGTTGCTGTCAGGAAGTCAGTGTGTGTGTGTGTGTGTGTGTGTGTGTGTGTGTGTTTGTGTGTGTGAGGGGGGTTCTTTTTGTTTGTAAGAAGTCAACCCTGATCTCCCATTACTAGTATAGAGTCGAGTAAAACCAAGAGTTGGAAAACCCACCTCGGCCAGCTGTGCTTTCAAAGACAAATTTAAATATTTCCTGAACTTCTTCTGCAGGAAGTCAAATTTGCCCGGGAACATCTCTGGGAGGGCACGGTAGCCACTCCTAGGTGGAATCAGAAGTGTACCTGACATTGGTTTATTTCTGCCTCACTTTACCTGGTCTGCTCCTGTAAGATGAGATGGGGTTCCACAAAGAACTTGACTCTCAGTTTGAGCCTGTAAGGTGCCAGCCCGTCCATCTGCTGGGAGATCCGGTTTCTCAGATTCAGCCATAAGTTTTCACCTTTGCTGCCGGTGAACTGCAGTCCAAAATAATCAACTTCTATGATCCCCAATCGCCTACACACCTAAAAGCAAAACCAAAGGCAGCGAATATAAGCAATGCAGACATAAGGGCTCCATCTGCGTGAAGGGCAGCTACTTACTTTGACCTTGTTATAATTCCAGTTCTAACATTCCAGTGGTAGAATGGGAAAACAAGGTTTCAAGGTGCCAGCGATGCCGAAACCCAGCGCTCCACAGGAGGCTCGGCCTTGCTTGAATATTTCTAGGGTATGGCCAATTGCACAGGGTAAGGAGTCCCCTAAAACAGACTTCCCAAGAGGCTGAGAAGGAAGAACCCAAGGGTATTTCATTTCTTACTCCAATCGCTGGAATTCCCTCCACCAGCACCATCTGCACAGATGATCTGGCAGCTTATTATCTGGGCAGTTCTAACCATCTGGATTCCAAAAACACAAACACGTTGAGGAAGCATGCCACAAGTGTCAGCTAAGCTTCACAAGTGGCTTTCCAATCAGCTCAGGTCTACAGGTCCAGAAGGCACAGTGTTTCAAGGGGATCAAACGTGCCTGCCATTTCCACCATGCAAACGCTGTTCAGAGCCTTAGTCACTCTAAAGAAAACACTCGTGTAAAGACCCCAAGCAGGAGACTTCCAGAACCGTTCCCCCTGCAAATTACCAAGGATACTCTGGATGCCCAGCAAGCCCGGAGTGCCAGGTGAACTCCCTTTCAGAGAAGCGGCTTGATAACTTGGGCCCATCTGATTAGCCAGGGAACCCCGGGGCCCGCGACTGTCTGCAGCCACCTCATCCCGGGATGCGGGTGGCGCTGCCGGGCTTTGCGAGGACCCCACGGGCGGCATCATGCACACACCTGCGGCAGGTGTGCCGGTCACCTTATTTAAAGAAAAGTGTCGAGGTAAGGGACAGGGTTGCAGCTCCCGGCAGTGTCCTGGTTTCCAGGCCCGGGATACCCCCACCGTACACGTCCTCTAGGCCCCCCACCCCCGCCGCCCGCGGAGAGGAGGAGGCTGGAGCCTGGCGTCCGGGGCGCGCGCCACGGGCCGCTGCTGCAACGTCGCTGGGCTCCTGAGGACCATCCCAGAGGCCCCAGGCTTTCCGGGGACAAGTGGGGAGCCCCTTTCCGATCGTCTCCCTCACCTGGTTGAGACAGTCCTCGCCGTTGGCTTTTGCCTCCACCTCCACCTCCATCAGCACGGCGTCCGGCCTCGTCACATAGCACAGCATGGCTGGGGCCGCGGCCACCGCCGCCACGGCCGCTTCTTCTCGGGTGTGCGCCGCGGCTGTCGCCTCACTGTAGTAGCTCTAAGTCGGCTCCGGGCTCCGCGAGGAAGGTGAAGCGGTGCGGCCGTCTGCCCTGCACCCCACGCAACCGCTGCTCGCGTCCCCGCCACCCCCGGCGATCTCCCACTCCTGAGTTCTCCACGGCCGCACGCTCGGACAGCCCGACTGCTAGCTTCGAGACAGTCACGCGTCTTTTATAGCGGCCCCGCCCCCCTCCGGTGCCGGCCTCCGCCAATCACGGCCTAGTTGCCCCTCCTCCCCAGCCCCTCCAGCCAATACGTAGCTCCGGTAGACTGCAGCCCCGCCTCCCGGCACCGCCTGTAGAGCTGCGGGAGGTGGGAGCCCCCACCCCCACGCCTGTACTCTCACAGCCTCTGCCGCTGGGCGACGCTCCTCCTAGCCCGCTGTCGCCTGCCGCTCCAAGGGACGCCTTTCTGTCCCTGCTCAAGAGGACCGTGATCAAACGCTCCCGCGATGCCGCTGTTCTCAAAACTCCCACTCCAACAGCCAGGTGGTTTGTGAGAGCCAAGGGGGGGAAGCGGACAAGCCGGAGCCTAAAGTTAAGGCTTTTCGGCCGGGATTTGCCACCGAGGGTTGGAAAACGCACAGTTGAGCAGGAAAGTTTTTGCAGTTGACCAATAATAAGCTGGGTAGCTTGATCTAAAAGCAGCATTCTTACATACACGCGTGCCAAGAGTTTTGAATGCGTGGGTTCTGCTAAACCGAAACACCTATCAGAGTGCTGGGGCCTCTGTTGTGTTAAAAACCCATTCTATCTAGCATCAATTCACTCACTATTTCCTGATACTCTCTGGGACAGCCAGATGTTACTCCATGTTAAAGGCAAAGGGCTCATCTCAGGACCTAGCAGGGATGGGGGTGGAGTTGAGTCTCAGTAGAAGAGGTTAATGGTTAAAGGCCATGTCTTCATTACCTGTCTCTTAACCTCTACAATTACTTTGCCTGCCTCTTTGGTTTGTAACAGTGGTTCTCAACATGTGGATTGCAACCAGTTGGGGGGTCAAATGACTCTTTCTTTTACAGGGATCAACTAAGGCCATCAGAAAACACAGATATTTACATTATGATTCATGACTGTCCCAAAGTTACAGTTCTGAAGCAGCAACAAACATAATTTTATGGTTGGGGGTCACCACAACGTGAGGAACTGTATTAAAGAGTCACAGCATTAAGAACAACTGATTCATAAGATAAGACAGGAGATGTGGGTTTCAGCCTTGGATCTTTGGAAAACTTCCTTTCTCTGAAGCTCAGATCCTCAGAGCAGAATGGACACTTTGGACCTTCCCTCAGCATCCCTGTGAAGCAATCTAGCCATCCCTGCCTGCCAGTGACTGCATCTCTGTCCGGGTGGTCATTTGTCTTCTGGCAGCGCACCTCATACTTAGGCTCAGTTACCTTTATTTCTGAGGTGTGGAAAATATCCCAGAAGAAGGGATGAATCTTGACAATTAGGGGCTTAAACCAATTAGGGGCAAACATATCCTGGCAAAGTCGCACTGCTTGCATCCATCCATCCATCCCTGCATCCTACTGCTCATTCCCTTCATTCTGGGCATCCGGCCAGTTTGGGGGATGTATCTGGGAGATAACGTTTACATTATCGTTATCTAATCTCTGCTCCATCACTGGCATTTTCAGCTCTAGGAGAGGAGGCAATGTGGAAATGGGTTATGTTGGCTAATATTTTTGAAAATCTGAAACAAAAGCTAGTTAGCTTAAGTAAAGGGAATTTTAGGGGATAGATTTGGGGAACTTCTAGAAACCAAGGGGACAGCCTAGAAGTAGAAGTGAGTATAAAGGAGCTGAGGAAGAACAAAAAATGAACAAACAAAATAAAAGCAAGACAAGAAATAAAACAAAAAAGTCGCTATTCTTGTGGAGTAACTATCTTTGAAACTATCTTACTTTGGGTTTTGGCAAGAATTTTTTTAATGGCTTTTTTCAGAGAAGTTATTCTATTTGTAGGAGCATGGGAAATGTCTGTCAGGTTTAAAATTTGTTAATTAAGAAAAAAATTAACAACTGTCATTTACTTACAAAGCAGTTGGCTGATTAAGACTGACAAGGGTGTGTCTAATCCATAGCCATTGAGTTCCTTCTTTGGGATCCTCAGTGAAGATTTTACCATTTTAAAACCTAGTATCACCATATAAGAGTCAGTGAAAATGGCTCTGTAGGTGAAGGCATCTGCCACCAGGCCTGATGACCTGAATTTGATCCCATGAGCCGTAGAGTAGAAGGAGAGAACCAACTCCCACAGGTTGTCCTCTGACCTCTACATGTTACACACATGAACCCTAAGATATTACATTTTTAAGGAATCAGCAGATAAGAAGTGGTTTTAGCAAACCAATGGCAAAGGGCTGGTTTTGTAGTTCAGTTGATAGAGTGCTTGCCTAGGATGTACAAAACCTTTTAAACTGTGCATGATAGACACAATGTGCCACTAGGCCAACAATCCCAGCAGCACTGGGGGGAGGGGGATAGATGTAGAAGAATCAGAAGCTCAAGATTATTGTAGGTCAAGTAGGGAGTTTGAGGATATCCTTGACTAGAGACTGTACCAAATTGATGATAGATGGATGGATGGATGGATGGATAGATAGATAGATAGATAGATAGATAGATAGATAGATAGATAGATAAACTATGAGCTGGGTGTAGTGGCACACATGCACACATGCACACATTCACACATGACTGGAATCCCAGCACTTAGGAGGCTGAGGTAAGAGGATCATGAGTTTGAGGCCAGCCTGGGCTATGTAGTTAGATTCTGTCTAGAAAACAAAAACAAGCATATAAAGTGCTTGCTGTGAAAGCATGAGGATGTAAATTCAGATCCCTAGAACCATGTAAAAAACAGGGCATCATGGTATGTGCTTGCAAGCCCAGTGTTGGGAGAAGAGGGGAGGATCCCAGGGACTCACTGGCCAGAAAGTCTAGGCAACCAGTGAGCTCCAAGTTTAGTAAAAGGCTCTGCTAGTCAGAAAATAAACATAAAACATTTAAAATGGTGAAGAGTGATATAGACACCTACTGTAACCTGGCCTCTGCATGTGAGCAGACACATGGGAAACACACAGAGAAAACACACATAGAAAACTGGCCAACCAAACAAGCAAACAAAATCCCCCAAAAAAGTAAAAACAGGAGACACGGTAAAGGGAAGGACATCCCAATGTCTGGGAAGAAAAGAGTCCAGGCTTCTCCTGGTGCACACGCTCTAGAAGGCCACGCCCTTTCTCTTCCCTCCTGCCATTTCTTTCCTGCGATAAGATAGACTGGCTAAGCAATGGGGAATGAGAAAGCACATTATGTTTAAAGGGCTCAGGGAACAGAAAACCCACAGTAGAACTGCTTCCTAGAAGACTCCGCCATCTGCTGATGCTACAGAGCGTCTGGAGCGGCTTCAAGCCCCAGCTGAGTCAAGCTCCAAAATAAGAGACCCTAAATATCCAGGGCTGGAGGTGGGAAGTGAATCCGACTGAGCTGTGTGGTTGAAGCCAGGGAGACACTCCATGCTCTTGTCTGCTTCCTTTTGCTCTCAAGTGGGGCATAATGGCTCCTGCCACGTACCCAGGAGCCTGAGGTAAGGAGGCTGCCGTAAATTCGAGACCAATCTGGACTCCAAATAGAGTTTCTGTCCAACCTGGACTACAGAGTGAGATTTTGTTGCCCCCAAAACCAAAAGAATAAAGCTTTACACTTAGCACAGTAAAAGGATTGCCTGTATGAATGTAGATTATTAAAAACAAAAGGTCTATCAAAGTAGTAGAAGCGATTAACTCACCACAGTCCTGGCTGTTCGAATAGACCCAAACATAGATTTTTTTTTCCCTCACTGTCCCATAGGCTAAATAAAAAAGATTAATATGTGTAGGGTGTAGTGCAATGATTATCTTCATAAAAATTCTCCTAGTTGAGCATGTGGTCTATTCACCAAGGCCGGGTACTTATTTTTAACCATTATACTCTCATTATTGTATGCTGGGCTGTGGCAGTCCTGCAGGGGGTCACGGGAGGATACAAGGCTTCATCACCTGCCATACCCTCCTCTTGCTCTCCACATTTATTTGTAAGTTCATCAGAGGAAGAAGAGTTAGCTACTGCCTTAGAAGCTGTTCTTTTGCTTTCACATATTATTCAAGCTAATTATTCACATAAGTAAGGCTTCATCAGGCATAAGTGTGTTAGAACAAGTTGAGTGAGCTGAAATCTCTAATTTGAAATATTAGCCTCACAAAATTCAGTAGTTTAATTTGATCCATGCCTACTATCAAAGCACAGCATCTCATTTCCTGGACTGGCTTAAAGGAGAAAGGGGACAGAGGAAGCATCCCTGTATTAAAAACCAGAAGATCTGAAGTGGCACTGTCTTAATTGGATAGCTGCTTAAATGATTTTTTTTCTTTCTAGTTACCAAGATAGTTAGTTTTCAAGATGGGTTACTTGAAAAAGAGTACACAGAGAAAAATAAAGTAGCTGTCATTTTATGGGAACTTTTCTGTTTAGACTTGATGCTTTGATGTTGCAGTCTGCTTATACTGTGCTCTATAAATATTCACTGTGGGGTCAGTGAGGGGGGTTAGTGTAGACAAAGTGCTTGCTGCGAGGTCTAAGACCTGAGTTCAATCCCTAGGACCTACATGGTGAAAGGAGAGAACTGACTCCTACAAGTTGTCCTCAGACCTCCACATGTGTGCTGTGGCACATGTTTAATGCCCCCCTAGAGAGAGAATAAAAAGTAAATATTGATTTGTGACATAAGTAAGTGACATATAATGAATTGTAGAAATGTATCAAGATGGATTTAAGGTATTATGTTCCAATTCCAAATGTAATTTTATGAATGCTAGAAAAATTATAACCAAAAAGAATAACCACACATACATGAACACATAAATGCTAGCTCTTATGCTTTCTCAATTCTTTTTTAATTATTTAATTGTGTGTGTGTGTGTGTGTGTGTGTGTGTGTGTGTGTGTGTGTGTGTGTGTGTGTTTCTGTCAGAGACCAGAAAGAGGGACCAGAAGCTCTGGAGCTGCAGTTACATGTGGTTGTGAGCAGCCTAATACAGGTGTTGGGAACTGAACTGGATCCTCTGCAAAAGTAATGCATGCTCTTAGTGGGTAAG